GGGGGCTCGTTTGCAGAGCCTGTAGCAGCCGCTCCCTCCCCGGGCGCTCGTTGGCAGAGCCTTACTAGTCGCCAGAGCCTGTAGCCACACTCATCTTGATGGCCTCCAGCTCCCTCTCCCAAGAAGCGCTGCAGGCCTCATCATCTGGGTCTGGGGACCTCACCTTGATGGGGGGCACTGAGCTGGGACCTTGCTACGTGTGGATTTTCAGGGCCCAGCTGCGGCAGGTTCTCACTCCCCAGACTGATTCCGCACACCTGTGCTCCTGGCAGGTTTGGAGACGGGGGCACCAAACACCTTGAGTCTAGACCTCACCCCTGGCAAAGCTGCCGGAACTGGTCCAGCCACGCTGCCCCCCCTGCGCCTTCCAAATCAATAAACGCCAGGTGGTAGCACAGAAAGTGCCACCCCCACCCCCCCCAGGAAGGGCATGAGGTGCTTTTTTGGCATTCCTAAATTGTACTGGGCGGTGCACCGGGGTGGTAGGCTGGGGCAGAGAGGTCACGTGAGAGGGAATTTACACAACCTCGTGGCTCAGCAGGATGCAGGGTGGCCCTCGCCAACGGCCTGGCCGTGAGCACGTTAGGGAACACCTCTGAGCCCCAGCCTCAGTGCCTTCTCTGAGAAATGGGCACAGTGATGTCAGCCTGGTGGGCTCGGTAGGGAGGGGATGCGCGCGCCCTGGCGGCGGGGCGAGGACTGGTGGGGAGGCTCGCCAAGGGGCTTTAGCTCCACGGAGTCAGATGTTTTCTTGGCCCAGTGTTGGTGGAGATGTGTGACAGGGCTCCGTGGGTGACTGGGGGATCTCCCAGGGACCAGGGTAGGTGCCTGCTGCATCCAGACCAGGCCCTGGAGTCAGGGATCGGACAAGGGACTGCTCCCCTGGCTCCCAGAAGGATGCTGCCATTAGCTGGGGTGGTGGACCGGCGACTCTATGGGGAAGCTCATTAGAGAGGTCTGCACAGGAACAAACACCCTGTGTTTTCCTTCCTTGTTTAGCAAATTCAGACAGAGGTGCTGGGTGAGGCACAGGGGACAGAGGAGAGCTCGTGAGACAGACAGCGGCTCCCCAAGGCCCCGGGGGGGTTGGGGGGGTGAGGAGCAGAACCTAAATGAATGTGCTGTAGGTGGGTGCAGGTGATTGCATGCACAAAGTGTCATGTACTGATGAGATGCTCTCACAATGGGGAAATCAGGGGAGGCTTCCCAGAGGAGGTGACCTTGCTCTGAACCTTGGGGGCTGGTACAATCGATCATATTTTCTGCTGTTTGGGATGAATGACCAGCACCCACTTTCCCTGAATGCTGTGCATCACACATCTAACTTGTTGCAAGCAATCATAGACACCACTCAGCAGGGTCCTTCATTCAGTCAAAAACTTTGGGGCACCTGGGTGGCTCAGTGTTAAGCATCTGACTTCGGCTCAGGTCATGACCTCATGCGTTCTGGGATCGAGCCCCACAGCGGGATCTGCGCTCAGCAGGGAGTCTGCTTGTCCCTCTTACTCCAACCTCTGCCTCCGGGTCACGCGGCTTCTCCTCTGGGTGTCTCTCTGTGTCCCCTCTTCTTATGGGGACGCCAATCATTGGACTTAGGGCCCATCCTAATCCAGTGTGACCTCATCTTAACTCACAAAAACCCTATTTCCAAATCGGGTCACATTCTGAACTTCCAGAGGGACATGGATGTCGGGGAGACAGTACAGGCCTGACCTGCTGTTCTGGGGTTCCTAATTGTAACAGGCGGCCTTTGAACTCAAGGATGATGAGGAGACAGCCCTCCAAGAGCTCACTGTGGGTAGCCACCAGCCACACGCAGCTGTTTAAACTTCGGTCTTTACCGTTACATGGACTCTGGCATTCAGGTCCTCACCCTTGCCAGCCACGTGGCAGGCGCCCCGCAGCCTGAGCAGTGCCCCGGGACCCACCCCTGATTGCCCTGTGTCTATAGGCAGCCAGCGTGGTCCCTCTGCCCCATGTTCACACGGGGCTGCCCGCCTCACGGAGCCCCGCAGAGACACAGGTGCTCATCAGCTGACCTGAACTGTGACGCAGAGGCCGAAGGAGGCCTGGTCCTCACCTTGGGGTTCTCGGGGTACACTGCTGTCCTCAGCCTTCAGCGGGTGGCGGGCAGGCAGGTGGGCAGGAGGACATGCAGGGGGCAGGGGGGCAGGTTCTCTCTCCAGCCCGGGTCGCAGAGCTCTGGGCCCCACCGTCCCCACTGGGCCGCGGTGCCGGCGATCCCACATGCCCCCCGGCCGCCACCGCAGCAGATTCCAGCTCCTGCCCAGCAAAGCCTCGCCATCCACAGAGGGCTTCTGTTCAGTATTTGATGAGCGTAGACTTCAGGCGCCGGAAACAGGGAGGCAGGAAGGCTGAGGGCCTTCCTCTCAGCTCTGTCCCACCTGGGGGGCCTGGGCCTCTCCTTCGGGGCAGCTGCCTTGGGGTCTGCTCAGTGTCCAAGCGCCCCTCACCAGCTGCCCCTCCCTTCCTCCCGCCCAGAGCACATGGTCTCTGCATCTTAAGCGAGTCAAGTGAAATAATTAGACACAAGCTGTCTGCACTAATTAGCACGTCCGCAGACCACAGGTTGTGATTGCCCTGAGACCGCTGGTGGACGCTCCCTGGACCGTCGGCGTCTCACGGCAAGGCATTGTGTGCACGCCAGGCCTGCAGGGAGCCCAGTCGGGGAAAGGAAGGTCCCTGGACAGAAGGAGTGGCAGGGAGTCTGCAGGAGGGAGCCGGTGCCTGAGACACACCAGGTGCCCCAGCGCCTCGGTGCCCATGCTGCCCGCAGCCCCCACCTAGCTTCCTGCTCCTCCGGTGCTGAGGGCTGGCCCACCCCTCCACCACCTCCTTGTGCCTCTCTCCCGTCCCCAGGTGCTTGAGGCCCTGGTTCTTCTTGTCTTACCAGACATCACCCGCAGGGAGGCCTCCCCAACCACTCTGCTCAGGGCCTGTGCCCTTCCTTCTTCTCTCCCTGAGCTGGGCGGGTTCCTTCATAGCCCCCGCTCAGAGGAGACTGCATGTGAGCTTGTTGGCTCCTTTACTGTGAGTTCCTCTCTGACACAAGCTCTGTAGGGCAGGCCCAGTCTGTTCAGGCATCACTGACCGACCAGCGCTCAGCTGCACGCCTGGGGCACTGGAGCAGCTCAAGAAATGTGTGGAAAGGTCAGGTGGTGGGCGTGGCAAGGGCAGGGCCGGCAGAGGGGCAGATCCAGGGGCAGGGCAGCAGAGCTGTGACCCCTGCCACCTTGAGCTCAAAAAGATCAGTATTTGCTTTGATTTTTTTGTTTGTTTGTTTCCCAGCTACTGAGCACTCCAACCTAGGTGTCCTCACTCTTTGGGGCCTTTTATACTAGATTGCCAGAGTCCGTGAAAGAGCATACCTCAAATTTTATACTAAAGTGTAAATGGTTGATAGAGGTGGCACAAGGTGGCATTTGCACTTTATCAAAGAGTAGAGCCTGACGCTAAACGAAGGACACTCCAAGGATGATTGTGAGACACCAGCTCTCAGGATCTGGGGTGTGGGGAGCTTCCCCTGGGGAGCTTATACGGCATAAGCAGAGAGCGCTCATCCCAGACACGAGACTCATGGTGTTCGCAGGGGCCTTGGATGGAGAGCGGCAGCTGCCTCTGAATCTGTGACCCTGTGCCCCGGCAGGTGGCCAGGGAGACACAGGGCTGCGCTCGGCCGGCTCGCGTCAGCTGCTCGGGAAGGGCAGGTGGTCTGCTGGGGCTACTGCTCCAGACCCCCTTTCCCGCTTTGCTCACAGGCACTCCCCGCGGTGTCTGCCTTTGCCTTCAGGGAGGAGAAACGAAGTGGCCAAAGGGGATGGGGGTGCTGCGGGTGAGGGAGCGGAGCGCGTTTCCAGCTTGGGCTTTGTGTCCCGAGCAGCCCGGCTCTCCCCCCACTGGCTCCGGGGAGGGTCTGAGGAATGGCCCAGAGTTAACCGGACACCCCGGGCAGGTCGCTCAGCGGCAAACAACCACACAACAAGGACACCCTCGCCTCTGCTTCCAGGCTTTTGTAAAACCTGCAGGTGGCTGCTGGCGGGGGGTGGGGACCCCAGGCAACTTGCTCGCTGCCCCCCCACCCCACCCCCAGCCAGGCGGACCCTCAGGCCACTGGACCCAGGCGCCAGAGCTCCGGCCCCGCAGGAAGGTCACGTTTCTCCACGAGACCCCTGCACAAATCTGCGCCTTTCCCCTCCTCTCCCTGGGAGAATCTGATCCCCCCGCCCTGGGAACAGCAGAGTCTGGGGGAGAAACGCTGCAGACGCTTCTCAGAGCAGCTTCCCGTGGGGCAGAGTGAGCCATCTCGACGAAGGGGGAAATCCACAAACATAATTGCTGCCCGGTCTAATCAGGCAGAGCTATGTAAGTGGAGCATTTTTACATGACTAAAATGTCAGGAGAGGCCTCGGTACGACGGGAGAGGCTCAAGTGTCTCCTGTGTGCCTAGCCAAAGACACCCCTGCCGCTGACACCGCTCGCCTGCACGCTCCCCTGCACGCTCCCCCGGTCAGAGTGTCTGCGTCACACACTTAGCGCAGAGCCAAGGACGTCCTCAGACCCACTGCCGCCTACCCCTGGGTGAGTCACTGGGTCACTGGGGACGCCACCCCGGCTCCCCGTCCCCACGCACGCAGACCCTCACTGGTCACCTTCATTAACTTGAAATGTCTCCCCACACGAGGGTGGGACATGAGGGTCTCGTGGTCTTACAGGATTTTTAGGAAAGCAAAACCAGGACCTTTCCATAGCTCTCAAGATTCTCCAGCTACACTGTCAGCAAGGGAAGAGGTTTCATGGAGGGCGATCCACGTAGTTTTGCTCCAGCTGAATCTCGCGATCACCATCACCGACCGTGGTTAATGCCATCACGTTACTCAGTTTCAGGGGGATCGTCCTGTAGCGACAGGACCAGCATCTTCCCTTTGCTTCCTGGGAAGCCCAGCAGCGGGCCACATGGGAAATTCTAAAAATGTGTTTTCCTAGAAACTGAGCTCTTTGTAAGTCCTCTGAAGAGGCCCGCTGCAGGGGGCCAGTGGTGGGCCGGGCGGGGTGGTGGTCGGGTTTCTCCCCGCTGGTTTTCGGGCGTGTTCACGGAACCCTGTGTTGAGCTCACCAACTGCAGCCTAGGGGTCTTGGCGGGGTCAGTGACGGCTGAGGCGAGTCTGCCAGCACCTGGATTTTCCCCTGAACCTTACCGATCCCCCCGCCCGGGAAAGGGGAGCAGGGGAGAAGCAAAGGCACTCTTGTCTTGGGGCGTGAGCTCTGCCCCAGAGACAGACGCCCGGGCCCTGCCACCCTGTGCTCCTGGGTCACACGCGGGGGCCGCCGGCTGGGGGCGCGGTCTGCGGGGCCCGAACACGCGCACTGGGCGGGCGCCCCCCGAGTCCCCAGACGCCAGGCTGGACGTCAGAGCCAGTCCATGCACCCGAGCCCACGTTGGAGCCCTTTTCCGCAAGAACGCCTGGAGATGCCTCTTCTCACAAGAGCAGCACATCTGTGGAAGAAAAGAGCCGCACAAAGAAGAAAACAGCAATCCGCCCTCTGAGCTCCGGAAGATGCACACAGCTCACACGGGACCGACGCCCACATGTCCTGGCTGCGCTCGCCGCCGGGGTGCATTCCCCGTGTTACAGACCAGCTGTCCTGACGAACAAAGTGTGTGGCCCCTGTTGGCGCTTGGCGGTGTATTCTTGACGTGGGAAACACCCTTCTCCCTCAGCACTGGGTTGTCCATCGTTGGGATTGGCCGAGACTCGTTTCACAAATCCCCTGCTGTGAGCTTTTCATTGTTTTCCATCTTTTCCTTGAGCTGAGGTGTGAGTCCAAGGAGCCGGCCTCAGGGACGGGGAGGGAGGAGGAGGCAAGTCAAGGACGGAGCCTCCCATGGGAGTAGCTGGGGCCCTGGGGTCCAGCCCACCTCCTCGGGAAGCCTTCGCTGCCTTCTCGTCCCCTTGCGGGCGTCTCCCGCCTCTGCCTCTTCCTCAGAGGCCTGGCTGGAGGGCAGGGGCCCAGCGAGGCCACCCTCTTTCTGTAGGTTTGTGGTCTGACAGGACAGCAGTGGTGGGGTGAGGGTGGGAGCCCCGACAGGCCCAGCAGGACTCAGGTAAACGTACAGAAGGAGAGGGTGTGCTGAGCGGGCTGGTGCAGGCAAAGGTGACGGGAGGATGCCATGGCCTCTGACCCCTCCAAGGGATGTGAGGGGCTCTGGAGGGGTGGGTCCCAGGTCGGGGGTCTGCCCTCTCCTGGGGTCCCCAGGGGGGCGAGCAGTCAGGGCAATGTTGGCTGGGGGTCCCCCAGATCCAACCTGTAATAAATCCTGCTTTGTAAATAAAGTTTTATCGGCACGCGGCCACGCTCACTCGTTTACGTACGTACATGGCGGCCTTCCTGACACAAGGGCAGACGCTGGTGGCCGCACAGCTGCCCCCACCCCGGACCACTCTGAGGTGGCGCGTTCCTTCGGATGGAGCAGGGATCGCACCCGTGTCCTCGGCTTCGAGGCTGCTTGTCCGCCAGATCCAGGGTTGCAAACGAGCAGCCCAGAGACAGGTTCGGCCCCGGAAGTGGGAGGGTTTGTTGTTTTTAAGACGTAGCATTTAAGCACGATATTTTTGTATACAAGACCCAATTTCTGGATTCTCTTAAAATTGGGAGGCTGTGGATCCTGGGGCCTGCTCTCCCCCGGCAGGACCCGCAGCCCCATCCTCCCGAGGCTCAGGACCACAGGCCCCGGGTGGGCACCCGTGTCCTCTTGTGAAGCCGCCAGCAAGACTTGGGGGTGGAAGGGGGAGGGAGAGAGTGCAAGTGTCTCCAGGCAGAGGGAGGGAAGTCTCAGTGTCCACTGTGCAGACCACGAATGTCTGTCCCCCAACCCTGGCCTGCCTCCACACCCCCTCAGCAGCCAGGACCCCGCCCCCGTGGCTGGCTGGCTGCCTTTGGGGCCTACCCTGCGTTTCCCTTTTTTTACCTCTCACCCACCCCTGCTTGCTCAGCCTGCTCAGACCCTGATGGCCTCTGCCCAGCTGGTCTCCGGGGCTCTGCTCCTGCCCCTGCATCTGTCCTCACTCAACAGCCAGGCGATCCTGTCCATGCACAGATGTGACCATCGCTGTCTTCTCAAACCCTCCTGTGGCTTCCCGTCTCCCCAAGTCAAGTCCAAACATAGCTTCTGCTCCTTGTCCACCCTCTGGCTCACCTTGCCCCTGCTCACTGGCCTACCTTCCCGGCCAAACCAGAGTGCTTGCCCCAGGGCCTTTGCACTGGCTGTTCCAGTTGCCAAAAACATCCCTCACCCAGATACCCACCAGCTCACTAATCAAGCATCTCCTTAGCAAAGAAGTCTTGTCTGGCCAGCCTGTGTGAACCAGCAGCCCACACACCCCCAGCGTCCTCTGCCCCCTCTCCCGCCTCCCTTTCCTACACAGCCCTTGTCACTACCTGATGGGACAGGTATTGCCTATTTATTGGCTGTCTCCTCCCCTGGAACCATGGTTCTCAACCAGGGTGATTCCCTGCCCCACCGCGGGGACACTGGGGGCGTCTGGGGAGAGTTTGGGTTGTCACAACTTCGGGGAGATGCCCCAGGGCACAGGACAGCCCCACGCAGAGAATGACCCGGCCCCACGGAATCCTTGGCTTCCAGAGCTAGGGCACGTGGCTGCTCAGTGGTCAGGTGTGAGATGTGCATGCATGGCCACGACTGTCCCAGCCCTGGGCAGTGCAGATGCTGTGTCTGTGACCCAGGGTGGGTGTCCAGGAGGGGCTCCGAGGAGGAGACATGCCGGGACTCAGGGACCAAGGCGGCCCCATCTCCCTGGACGGGACACCTGCTCTCATTCTTCCCAGAGCCTCCGACCCCCAAAATCCTTGGTGGTCATTCCTGAGAGCTCATCTCCCCTCTGTGCCCAGCAGAGGGAAGGGGAGAGAGGGTGGGTGGGTGGGCGCCGAGCACCCCGCCCACCCAGCGCTGTGGATGAGACAGAGGCCTTGGCGCCTCCGTTCCCCACGCAACCGGCCGAGGGAGGAAGCTGTCCCTGCAGTGCTGGCATTTTCTCTCGCTTCACCTGGCTTGGCTGGTTCGTGCGGCAGAAAGCAAACCCGGTGGGGGGTGGGGGGCGCGAGGAGATGGGGGTGCAGTGAGGTTTGTCAGGGAGTACTGCAGGCTCACACAGCCCTGGGTGGGAGGCAGGCGTCCCCACGCACCCTGAGTGTGCAGAGAGCAGCGGAGGCACAGCTCCACCTGGTCCGAGAGCGATTTCATTCCCCAAAATGACTGTCCCACGGGCAGCCACTCCCGCCCCCCGGCCCCCAGCGACCACTGTTCCACTGTCTTGATGGACGGGCCAGTGATGGACGCTTCACATCAGGGGGGCCTGGGAGCCTGTGGCTTCGTGTCCGCTCCCTCCGCTCAGCACGTGCCGTCGAGGTTCATCCGCGGGGTCGCTCCTTCTCTAGCAGAGCCCTGCCCCCGCGCGTGCGTGAAGCAGTGTCTACTCACCCGTGGGCGGATGGACAGGCGGGTTGCTTCCACCAGTGGCCGTGGTGGCCGGGCAACTGTGAGCCCTGGAACAAGCACTTGTCTGGACTTTTTCCAGCTCCCTTGGGCCAGGGCCAGGTGCAGGATTGCTGGTCATGTGGTGACTGAGCACTCGAGGACCTGCAGCCTGTTCTCCTCGGCGGCCGCACTCCCCACGCCCCCGGGCATGAGTCCCGATGCACCTGATGAAAAAGAACAGTGACCCGTGACCCCTCCTCCCGCAGTGGCCATTCCAGACGCCCTCCTGCTCGTTCCCAGGTGCCAATCGGACACCCAGGTGCTGAGCAACATGAGCTCCGGGTGCAGGAGGGAGGCCCTCAGTTTACTCATTTCTCAGTTCCCGCAGTGACAGCAGTGACAAGCAGGAAAGCACGAGGGGGCACGTGGCCCAGGGAGGGAGCCTCAGGACGCCGGCATTGACCCAGTGAGCGGGAGAACCCTAGCCTCATTCAGGGAGGGACGCTGGGAGGGTCTGTGAGTTGCAGTGTGGACACCAGGCTCTCAGCCTCAATCTACACCCGCATCCCGGCCGCCAGCACGCTGCAGAGGGCCCGCTGCAGATGCCCAGTGTAGGCAGGGAGACATGTTTGTAGCATGGTAGGGGACACGGGTCCAGGAGCTGGGGACACCATTCTCAGGCTGGGAGGCACCCTGGGCTCCACCAGCACGTGGGGGTGCAAGTTGCAGGCCTGATATGGGCCGGGCTGCAGTCCTGGCGGCCGGTGTGGGGAGGAGGGCCCGCAGGGGCATGCGGGAGGCTTTGATGCTTTTCTAGGGCAGGTCAGCCGGCTGCATTATTGATGGATGTTCTGCAAAATTTAAATGCTGAGCTATGGGGAAGGAAGCGAAAACCCCAGGGGCCACCCACGTGCAGTTTTCCTCCCTTCTCTTGGAACTTGAACATGGCCAGATCACATTTTAATGAATTCACTGCGGCACCGCTGCTGACCAGGCAGAGCAGGAATACCACTGGGCGGCAGGCGGGGCTGGCCGGGGGCACCTGCGCACAGGTGGGAGAAGCTATCACCAGCTGGCCTCCAGCGGGGGACACCGCAGAGACACAGGCTCGCCCACTCCCCACCCAGTCCGCTCCACCAGCTCCCCTGGAGGCTGATTCGGAGAGCAGAGACCCGCTGCATGATTCAGCCCGTGGAGAAGACCTCTGTGGGTCCAGAGCTGGGGCCGGGGTCTTCTTTTTGTCCCAGGAGAGCCAGGCAGCAGGTTTCAGGAACTCCAGATGGCCAGGCCCCAAGCACACTGTCCACCAGCCCTGGGCGCCCCCCCCAAGACTCAGTTCGATCCACCACAAAGTAGGGAGGGTTTCACCCCACACCCCAGGCCCCCAGAAGGTAGGTGCGCCACAGCAGATGTGGTCTGTGGGGTCACCAGC